AAGGGCGGAGCAGGTGATTTAAGAAGTTTTAGAAACACAAACTGTTTGCTCGACTGTAATACAAAAAGACGATATGCACGACAATTTTGCAGACAATATATAACGTGAGAAAAAGATTGCGTTGAAATTATGAGTATAACTTTCAGCTTCGTTTTCAATTATGTTTCATCCAGTGATATAGAAGAATGTGGTAAATCTGTCGCTTTTCCCAATTAAAAATTTGACTGATTCCTTTCTCACTATTCTTTCTCCTCGCCTTTAAGTAATTTAAACAGGTTTTTTTGGGATCGATCCGTTTTGCTGAGGCTCCAAATCGACACTTGTGTCTTTTTTTCTCTTTATCTCCGTAATTATCTCTTCATCTCCGATCCCTAATTATTAAAAAAATTAAAACTCAGGGTATCCCTGTTAACCACATGAGGTCACAAGAATCAACTCCGAAATAAAACTTAGACTGACCAATTCTGCGATTTAAAGTGCTCAGTTACCATGCGTTTTGGACATTACCTTTAGGCATTTCACAAATGTAAGCCCTTTCTTGTCGATTTGAAAGATCATTAAACAGCACTTGTATTCCCGGTGGGTAATCCTTTGACATCACCGCTTTATCTCCATCGCCAGATGGCGCGCCAACAGTCGTCTGCCATTTCTTAATGCCAAGCTTGCTTCCACTCACCCACTTCCAATCCCTGTTAACTTTATGCAGACCTATATGCCATCCGTTAAGTTGCCCGATGCAACGTTTTTGGATTTGGTCGTTGAGGGAGCTCCATTCGCCTTCAGTTTTTATAGAGACGAGGTCGCCACCCTTCCCTTGACAGGTTTTTCGGTTGTCGGACCATGTCCCGCATGATTCCGCATCGCAAATTAAGTAACAGGAGCTTTGGAAACATAGTTTACTTTCTATAGATAGAAGATATTTACATCATTCAGAATAATTTCAGTTGAAAGTTGCAGAAATTTCATAACATCAACACTTGCCCGCTTACTCAGCGAGCTGCTGACCCTTCCGTGAGTCCAAACACAGATTTTCAGGGGGTGCTTCCGCGGTAGTGACACTGTAGAGTGAGGTTTGAGGAGTAAAGAGCAACCAATAACGGTAAAAAGATATGTTAAAAATAAGGAAAAGGTGAACGGAATTGAAAAACTCTTTCAAATGGCATCCTCTAACTGGGATTCGAATTTTAATTTGCATTGACCTCNGCCGCTCAACACATCAAATACAAGCTCTTAGGTAAACTTCTCACAAAAGTAGAAAAAATTCCACGCGCCGCCATCTTTGTTTTGAATTTTCATCTTTTGATCTCGCGCTTCTTTCACACGTTTCTCTCGCGCGCGTCACACAAGAGTGACCTGTTCCCCGCGCGAGGAAACTGGTACGAGCCTCCTTAAACTGTAAATATCTAAACTCCTATATCAAATTAAAGCTTACAGGATTGGCTATCAGACTATACCAAAAATTTTCAAAAAAAAATTAATTGTCGAATTTTTCACGACTTCTAAATGCGAGCGCCTGAATCACCTTTTGAACGTTACACTGATGTCAAAGGGAATTTTGTTTTTCGCTTATTTAATGTGTTCCTCCGTTTCCGGTGCCAAAGCGGTAAAAAAACATATCTGTGATTTGCCATATTCAATTTCAGTGAAAAGTTACCGAACATTTTTGAAATAGGATTAAAAAAATGTGGAGTGATCGTACAAAAATCGCTCTTGAAAAAGAAGGATTTAGAAATAAAAAAAAATCAGGGACACGGTTTTGTTGTTTATATGTAAAACTAGCTACTGTCAAAATTTGAGAGCAATCGAACAAATTCCCTTTGACTTGTAGCTCTTAAAAGGTGATTCAGGTGGTGTTTGGGATTTCAGAAACCTTCACGCTGATTACCCTTTTCTGATTGGACGACGTTAAACCAATGACTAATTCAAAATATTTGGCTGGCACGTGAGAATCTTGCTACGCATCCCAGACGCTCTAATACTGTGGGTGTAGTATATTGCTATTATAATAGGCTAAACGGAGCCACAAGGTCCCAACAACATGGCCACTTCAACCAACACAACTTTATTTCTGCAATGCACTCTGGGTACATACACAATAATTATGACCTACAGGGTACTCAATATATTACAGTGGGATTTTGATTTTCTTCGAGGGCTAGCTCCGGTCCGTTTGGCTGGATTTTCGATTGGAAGGTAGGAGGAGAATCGTGAATCTTTTGACCTTAATGCTGCGAATTTTGAAAGCAGAGCGATGCGATTTTCGGGGCAAAAATCACTCGGGCGCTGGACTGAACCCTTGGCTAAACTAGACAGGGTCACTTTAAACCATGCACCAAACGAGCAAGCTCGTGGCTCGTTTGTTCTTTGCGCTGACGAAGTTAATTGCAGGCTCATACGCTCTTTATGTACACTGAGTGGCTCGTCTCAGTGGTTCGGTTGCTCCGCAGTGGATCTCAGTAATGCATGTTTCTCATGATTTTCTCTACGTATAAGATAAATATAAGCTTATGCGATTGTCGTTATAAGTTTGAACATCTGAAGAAAGTAGAAAGCGTTCAACTCCATGTCATTTAACTTTCCTATCGTGTGTTTACCGTACATACATTTGACTTCATTCCGTATAGTTACATAAACTTAAATAATTAATCCTTATCAGTGTCTTTATGTTTATAACGCCACATAATTACAGAGGAATTTCCTTCGAAACAATTACTTCTCATTCTGAACTGCCACTGACTCAAACTGAAACCACGAAGATGCAGTTCATTTTTCGTTCTTGCCATTTCTAATGTTAATATCCATTGTTACATTTTGCTGAATTTGATGAAATGCTGGATTCTCAAATCGATGATTATTATAATAAACTTTATTTAGAGAGGGTGGCACGGGATAGTTGAAGAAACTAATAAACTTATGGCCCTCTATTTCAAAAAAACTCTAACAAGCAATGTATGTTGAATTATAACATAACTATCAATAAAAACGAGGAATATTTATCTAATGAGAAGACGAATTACGAGTAAAAATAAAATGTAACTTGAGAGCAAATGATGAATCATATGATTGCCCCATGAGCATTAATAACCACCTGCAAAATACCTGTAAAATCTTTCAAAAGAGGAATTTTTAACAACTTTAAATTAAATAATGCTATGCAGTTTTTTGATGGGACAGACACAACGTTCTATGTTGGAGAGGATATTTAACTGTTTTCATAACAATACAATACTTTATTCAAGAGAAGAAAATCAAAAATTAAAAAAATATCTCTCAAAAGGGGATATATAGAGGTTAACCCTATAAAAACACTTTATAAGGACATTCCTCGATTCATGGAAAATGGCGCCGCTCGCTTGTTTAATAATTTTTTTATCGGGACATTGGGGGCAAGGTAAGACAAACTAACTCTTAAACAGCTTACAGTCAGAAAATTGATAACTTACTTATACGCTACGTTTCCTTTCTCTTATCTTTCTTTTTGTGAGCTTGTAGATTATTACAAACGCAGACCGGCACTGTTTACCCGAAAAATTTTGTTTTCCCTCTGTGTTAGGTATGATTTAAAACTGAATTTTAATGCTTTCCAACTGGCAGATCATGCTGACAGATAAACTACACACCACTACCATGAAGTGCTTTAGAGGGTTTTCACTAAGAGATGCCTGTGTCGTGACTGAACAGATTCTAAGTTTTGTTGGTTTTGGCGAGACTCAATTTTTTTTTGTATTTTTGTATCTCGATTTTGTTTTCGTTTCATTGGTTTTTTCGTTTCTTGCGAAAATGAATAACCAGTTTGCCTTTTTCATATTCTTTTAAACTGTGATAAAGTTAGGGAAGATTAAACAAAGCTATAATATTTTATCACCTTTATCCATTACGATTTGATTCCCTCAGGGGCGAGGATGATTTAAAACAGTATTCCAATACAAATTTAAATTAAATGTCAATTGGAAAAGTTTTCCTCAATAATTCTCATGCAAGCTGATTCACAATAAACTCAACGAGAATTTTACCAGACAGGCACATTGTGGTCCCCTACAAATGACGATTTGAACATTCTTAGGACCACCCTCTATTTGACAAAGTTACGATACTGTTGATGTGATTAACATGCAAGCACAATTAACAATAACAGTTTTCATTTAGTTTTCTAGCTTTGTTAACTCATAAATAATTTCTTTTACAGCAATGGCCCTTCACGAGAGAGTACTTGTCGAGAAGTTATTAGAGCATTATCAAACGGGGCTACGGCCAGTGGTCGAAAATAGCTCCCAACCGACGCCTGTCAACATAAGTTTGAGACTGGTGCAGATTTTCGAGATGGTAAGAAGAAGTGAGATACAATGAATATATGAAGTTCATATATTTTGAACTGCGGTATTAGATACGTATGATGCACGATCCTCGCAGTAGATAGCGCTATTTATGCAATAACGAAAATCAGACCTGAAAAAAATCAGGCCTGTACGGGACTCGAACCACTGACCTCTGCGATACTAGTGCAGCGCTCTACCAATTGAGCTAACAAGCCAACTGGGAGCAGGCCGTTAAGTTGATTCGTAATAAACCCATGAAAGTGATAAATGAGATACAATGAATGTATGAAGTTCATATATTTTGAACTGTGGTATTAGATACGTATGATGCACGATCCTCGCAGTAGATAGCGCCTGATTTTTTTCAGGTCTGATTTTCGCTATTGCTTAAATAGCGCTATCTACTGCGAGGATCGTGCATCATACGTAAGAAGAAGTGTGAAAATGTATGTAGGCATGTTCAGCATGCAGACGGAGGTTTAACTGGAGGTGAATCCATGTGCCATTTATATGAACTTTATGAGTCCCACTAGAACTTTTAAAACAAGAACGAAGCACAGTTTTACACATGTACATAATTAGTTGCAGAAATAATCCTAATAGAAAAGGCCTTAGTGCAAAACAGAAGCGAAAATAAGAATGTCAGTATGTTTGAGGAAAAGTTAATTTGTGATAAACTGAGATCAGAAGTGAAATTAGAAAAAACAACACGGGAATTAACTATTTACAAGAGGATCTGTGCATTTGAAGAAGATCAATTTGATAAAAATTCCTACAAGGTATGAGAGACCAAATATTTCCATTATGATATATCGATGAAAAACAAAACTATTTCATATTTGCTATACAACGCACATATATGTCAATTATTTTCGATCTTCTCAATTGAATCATCTAGGATGTCAAGAAACAAGTTATTATCACAAGTGTGTGGCTTAAACAGGTTAGTACGTATGAGCGCCAACCTCGTTCCCAGGGCCTTTTCCCTTAGTTGGGGGTGGAGTTGGGGGTGGGGCAGGAAAACGCCCACCCCTAGCTAAGGGAAAAGGCCCTGGGAACGAGGTTGTATGAGCGCATCGTCAACACTTTGGGCTCATTAAAAAATCTTTCCCTGCCCTGTGCCCGGGATTAACATTTGAAAGCGTGGTGCGATCGTCCTAACAAAGGTACCGCTGAAAATGACTAATTTCGATGACACAGATTGACGTTTGTTAATTTAGGAGGGATTCCTGATCAAAGCTACCCGTTGTTTGACAGTGAGATATATATTACCACCCCGCTTAGTGAAAATGGATTGGTGACGGTTTTTGCGTGATGTTATCAATTATAGTTGCCTACAGAGTCTTAGAGCCAATAACATGTTATGCAAAAACATAACAACTGATTATTTTTTTCTGAAAGAAAATTATAGTGTCAAAAGTCCATTCTCCATTTTATTTTGTCTGATACAAAAATGCAAGCCTTTGTTACATGAATAATGTGTCAGCAGTGGGCAAAGGTGGAAAAGGAGAATTTGAAATCTATTGCGGGAAACGCACTTAACCAACCCTTGTGATCAAGGTTTCGGACTTGTAAACTTGATATGCCACTGAGTGCTTTCAATTCTGCAGGCTTGGTTTGATCCCGAGTTAAGATGGAACAAATCTGGTTACGGTTGGATAGACGAGATCAGTTTGTCTCCTGATGATGTATGGGTACCGGATACCGTCCTGTTAAACACGTAAGGCCATGCATATGAAACGTTTATCCTTATCAATATCCAACTGCAGAGTACAAATAACGCGTAAATCAAGCACAAATATCACGCGATATTTGGACAACTCATTACTTTTTTCCTTAAAAAACCTGTTTAACCGGTCGGCTACGCGAGCTAGATTCTCGATCTAATTCGCTTTTCCCTTCTTATGAGAAATGTGCGTAAAATAGAGCGGTTGGAATATAACTTTTAGACGTTTTAGTGTTTACACTTTGCTTATATCTTGACTCGCCCTAGGGGCTCGTTAGAATACAGCACAACTCGTAAAAACACTCAGTGGTACTACACAGCAAAACTTCTAATAAAATATAATTAAAATTTACCTAAATATCAGAAATTTAGCGGGAATTGGTTGATAAGTTCTGCGAGAAATGTCAGGGAAGAAGTGATGTAGCTGCTAAAGGATCTTTAAGATACCTGACAAGCTAACACAAGAAAAATTCAACTTAAAAATACCCTACGACCTTTGATACAATTGTTCTCTTCAGTGCTGATACCTACAAAATGGGCAAACCAGTAGGTATGCACAACCCATTGTTAGTAACCTTCCAAGGTAGAGTCCGCTGGCTTGCGCCGGTCATCCTCAAGAGCTCTTGCAGGTTAAGTGTCAGGTACTTCCCATTTGACGAGCAGTTCTGCAAGCTCAAGTTTGTATCCTGGACGTATAGTAGAAGCGCACTGGTTCTGGAACCTGAGGACACAGTGATATTGCAAAACTATACAGGTAGTTTATTTACCTTTCATTGCGTTTATCTATCCCTTTTCTTTTTGGGGGGTGGAGAGTGTGGTGGGGTCAAGAGCCCACTATACGTAACCTGCAAATAACCGCCGAAAAAGTTAAAGTGTGCGCTTACGCACTATCACTTAACTGTGTTTCAGGCCGCCGGAAAAATCTTCTGTGGCACCGATAGTAATCTCTTCTCTTCTGTGAAAGCTTTTTTTCTTTCAGCTGACAAGCTAGTTTACTCAGTTACAATAAGAAGTTTTAAGGGTTTTAAAGGTGAAGGGCGCTTTTATTCTGAGAACACTCTCGCTAATTTCGAGGGTGTTCCGTAAATTTAGGCCTCGTAGAGTCAGTCCACATAGGCTTAATTCTTCAAGATAGATAGATAAATTAAGAACTACAAAATATGAAGCGGAATATTTAACAATTATTCCACGAGCACGCGTTGGATATGAGATGATAGATAGCCAACGAGGTGCGTAGCGCCGAGTTGGCTATAATCATCTCATATCCAACAAGCGCGAGTGGAATAATTGTTTTATTAAAAACGCCCCCAAGAAATATTAATTTTTATTAAATTTTTAGCTCCCTTTTAATTTTAAGCTGACGCGTACGCTTACCATAATTGTAGATTATGGTATATTGGCTGATATACCATAATGGCTAAGCCAATAAAAAGGCTTGAATTGCATTATCCAATGATCCAGTTTTTAATAAGTTTAATTATTTCATAGATATCGGGCCTAACTGCCTTTCCTTTATGTATATTAAAGTAAATTAGCCTCTCTGACCCTTGCGAACATGTTTAAAAACATGTTCGCAAAAATTTGAATTCAAAAGTCAAGCATGAAGGATATCGATCTCTACGACATGTCATACACATAGAAAACAACTGATGATCGTGCCCGCTGTTATGAATTAAAAGGTCTATTTGGAGCGTTGATTTCGTTTGATTTGTGTTGTCCTTTTTCAACCAAACAGTGCTGTTATGAAAGCATTTTATCTTTTTTTATTGGTAGAAAGTGGAGAATGGTACCTAGAGCGAGTGTACGCCCTGAGATCGTCAAGCAAGCCTACCCATACTAACCCAGAAAACAAATCGGCAGTGACGTATGTTATACACATCAGGCGCAAAGTCTTCTACTACTTTGTGTACCTCATTGCGCCCTGCATGGTGACGTCATTCATGACGTTGATCTTATTCACCCTTCCCCCTGAGAGTGGCGAAAGAATGGTAGTGGGCGTGACCATCCTGCTGTCACTCACTGTGTTTTATTTGTTGGCTTCCACGCATATCCCTGAGACATCTGAGGTGGTACCACTGATTTTAAGGTAAGTTGAGTTTGATTTCCCCTTATAAATATTTTTCGGGTAAGGCGTTCATCGCTAATTAAATGTCTTGGCAGAAAAACAAGAAAAGCCCGTACATGATAAGACAGGAACAAAATTGCGCAAGTGCTTCGGCAAAAAAAAAGTACATATTTCACGAGTCTGAAAAACAAAACTTCACGTTCTCACTGAAAGACGGGGCTCAGTTCTATCATCATTCACCAAACTCTTTTTCAATCGAGAGAAGACTTAACGTGAAACGGCAATCGTCACCTCGCCCTTTCACTTTTCACGTAAAATAGAGAGAACCTTACTGCTTTAACTTCGCGTGAGCTCACTTCAAGGTGGAACTGAAGGCGCCCATGAAGGACTTACAAGGAATAGTGAGAGAATCTGTGAGAGAAAAGTGACTCTAAAATCTTACATATACGGCAAACGCAAAACAGGTTACTTGCAAGCAGGAAAGGGACAGCGCAACCGGCAAACGTGAAAAAATGGCGGGAAAAACAAGGTCATGGGGTCACTCTTTCATTATTTTAGGATGCATGGTGCGGGGCTTTGACAATAGTCCTGCATGCATTGTATATGATAATGTTTTGGCTTTTTTTTTTCAGATACTACGTGTTGACTATCATTGAGATCTCAAGCGCGTTGGGTTTAACCTGCTGGGTTTTAAGGTTCCATCATTACAACACATCTATTGGAAGGATCCCGAATTGGGTTAGGGTATGAATTCTCCTTATTCCACTGAGTTACAGTACATCTCTTTGCTTGGTTATCAAGGATATTAAATATAGTCTTCCTGACTTCGATGTATTGAGCTTGTCACTGTTGTTTTAAGGTATACATCCTCGGTTACGTTGCTAAAGCAGTGCTATATAAAGTTCCAGAAGGAATCTCCATGGCAACTGAATCGGTGGAAGGACAAGGTGGGGTTCGAGACTTAAAAATAAAAAAAAAAAATTAAAAAAAAAATTAAAAAAGATGGACATACGATCAGGTTTCTTCTCTTTCCGTGAAGCACACGAGTCAGCAGTAGCTGCTGCTCTTTTCCACTCCTGGAAAAAGGTAAAATAAAAGATGGAAAAATAAAAAAATACCCGATCGTTGGTTACGAAAGATTCACTTCCAAAAGGTTTTTTCAATGATTACAAAATAAACGGTATGTGTACACGGGTGTTGTTATAGATTTCCCGTATAGATTATTGTTTCGTTGGCTCCATGTTTAGCCAAATCAGTTTGGAGAATAAGCTACAAGATATGATAAGGAAATTGCCTGACTCAAATGTATGACAAATAAGGAACTCTATGATTTCAAAATTATAAAAAGGTTAGCGCAGCAGTAGAAATCTTACGTGTCGATGTGCTTTCGCCTGACTCAGCTGTAAAATCTAATGCCGGGAATCGAGTCAAAATCTCAGCCCAGGCTTTTCTCCTTTTACACTCTTGATGCTTTGTCGCTGATTGATCACTAACCCGTTTGTACGCATCGATTTTTCTAGAGAACAGAGATCCCAATGACAGAGAAATCAATGGTAGCTCCTTGGCTCGTCGACGCCTTCCCAGGGAACCTAGTGGCATTACAATGATGGCCGAGCGGGAGCTGAAGAAACAAGAAGAAGGGAACAAACAGGAAGAATGGCAGCTGGCTGCGCGCGTCATAAATCGGCTTTTCCTTGTTGGCTATTTGATTGCCGTTATCTTATCTATATTTGGTATTTTCCTTCAGGTTCCGGGAGTTTTCGTCTCCAGGCCCTCACCGCCCACTTCTGACGAAGAATAACTGTAATTTAACTTCTTTGTAATCGTCAATCTGTAAACTAAAAGAACATTCAGTCAGTAGATCAAATGGCCGTTCTGTATTTTAGCCATGCAGTCAATCCGCTGATCGTTAAAATCTACTTTCGGTAAGTCAGTTTCAAAGTCAAAAGTTCGTCAGTCAGACAATATTTCACGCAGCTAGCCGTCTATTGGTCTTTCATAGATCAGTAAATCAGACAATCAGTCATTAAGTCTCCAAGTCAGTACGTTATTCCGAAAGATAGTTCTTAATAATTCAATCAGGCAGTGATCCTATCAAATCTTCGAGTAAATTACTTAAACACGAGTAGAAAATGCCGTAGGAGATAAGGATCTTATCGTAAAGTAGAACTCGTCGATCAGGAGACAAATATTAATTCGATTTGTTGCTTAGACATATAATTGAAATAAAAAGATCGGATAGCCAAGAAGAGCTAATTTGTTATCTTGTGAAAAATATGTAGGGAGAATAACTCAACAAATCCTTTGTATTTGTGGTGGGACATCTGGTCTCGAAATCTGATGGTCTGAGGTTTGACTTCTCGTGGAAAACATACATTTATTTGGGCCGCCTCGCTTGCAATAAAACTAGCAGCAATATACTTTCTAATCATATCATAATTATGTATTTTATATGACTCGAGTTATGAGCTTGCAGCTCAAGGAAAACTGTGAAGCTCAGGTCCCATTGGTGCATAAGCAAACGAAAAACGGCTCTTTATTATGATTCTCGCGATATAATCATTTGTAGATTGATCTAGTCAAACTCTTAAGTGAAGACCTCGACGCATCGATTGTTATACTTAGCGGCTAGTCTTTGTCAGAAAACTGAGGAAACTTGTATACTTTAGCAATCGAAACGTTGGAATCCTCAACTGATGGTTTGACTCGATCTAAAATTAAATGTGACTCTAAATCAAGACACAAATGATAATAATAATAATTTATTAGTGTATTAGATAATTAAATTTATTAATTTAACATATAATGATCAAAAGCGCATTACACTTGTCAAAAACCAAGGAATTAAAACGTACATTGTATATACATATATATGTATATATATATGTTGTGGTAGGAAAAAGACAAGTAAACTACAAGTTCATCCCTACAAGCCTG